ATCTCTTAATAATAAAAAAAGAAAAAGAAAGATGGAAAGAAAGAAAAAATTTTACAAGATTATCATGGGACACTTCCTTTAAAAAGAAACAGTATAATGTGCTGGCTGGGAATATGGGTTATGAACTCAGACAAACCCATCTTCAAACAAAAGTGTTGCCTTGGGCTAGATTGATATGATTTTTGGCAAATTATTTATTTGGTATTTATGTACCTCATTTACTCCCTATATAAAATAGAAAAAACTACTTCACTAGTTATTTTATGGGTTCAGTAGAGTTACTTTTATTAAGTTTTTTACTAATGCTGTGATAAAACACCATGACAAAAATAAGTTAAGGGAGAAATGGTTTATTTTGGTTTGAGGTTAAACCATATGGCAGGCAACAGAAGCTGGACGCAGGTGGTAACATTGCATCCATAATCAGGAAGCAGAGATCGATGAATGCTAGTGTCCAGATAGCTCAACCTCTCCTGTGCAGTCCAAGTCCAGGTACTGTATCCACAGTGGCCAACTCTTCATCTCAAGTGACCTAATCAAGTTAATTTACCACAAGCATGTTCCGGTGCCCATCTTTCAGGTGATTCCAGATATAATCAAGTTGAAATCTGAGATTAAACACCATGAATGCACTTACTTCAGCATCCAGTACATTTTAAGGCATTGACAAATACATACTGCCTTTAAGGCATTTACAAAACATTTATTGAATAACTACTATGAACCAGATGAAACACAAGTGTAGTTTATATGTGTGTATCTCCAAGTAATAAAGCACACCCACATACTACCTCTGCATTATATGAAGATGTATAATTACAGTTTGTAAGCACTTTTAACCACTGGCATATTAGCAAACAACAAACACCATTGCACAGTGCAGAGTCTGTTTACTTGGCAAAATGTAGATAAAGCAGCTGCTTCACACAACAGGCAATGGGGGTGGAGTGCTGATTGCAGGGTGAATTGAGTACAGAAGCTATATTTAGTTAGAATGTGACATCATTTAAAATTTTGAATTATGTGATTCACACGTTTTCAATAACATTGGTTTGTTTACTTAAGAAAACCTGGGGAATCCAGTAAATTCCCTCATTCTTCTTGACTGCATTTAGCCAACACAACTTAAAGCTATAAAGCAACCATTTTCAAAATCCATAATATCTGCGTGGTTATCTGGGTCAAAATATAGTATTGGAACAGAATAACCATATGCTGTAAAATATAATTGATGTTACAGTGAAGGCCAGCAAGGTGAGTCTTCATTCTGTCTACAGACATTAGCATTATGAAAAGGTTCCTTGTGGCAATTACATAGTTAGTGAAATGCCATTATGCCCATCTTTCCATGTGTTCTTGTGGCTGTGATTATATGACACTGGACATACACATGAATATTTAAAATCTCAATCACTTCTCCAGATGTTCCCAAATATCACTGTGCTTGGCCTATGGACAGAACACCTGGACTTAAGTTTTTCACTTCATTTTCTTTATCTATTATTTGCTTATCTACACAACCTGTTTGGAAGTTCTTTCCTACCACTCACTATTGAGAATATAACCAAAATAATGAAATGCAAAAGGCTTTATCATGAAAATGTGTTTCCTGTGTTGAAAGATGCTGTCAGTCTGCTAGGTCATAGACAGATACTAGCTGTAAACATAACAAGAGAGTAAAAGAGAAATAAAGTCATCTCCATGTTTGGGTTTATAGAAAGCACACACATTGGTATTGGTAAGGTTAGGATTTGTAAAATGGGAGGCAGTGTCTAGGAAGACACAGATAGTGACATCAGAAAACCCTGGGTTTTTCTCCTTTACTTAAAACATCGTGACCCTTAGAGACTCTCAGAGACTGAAATGTCCTGTTTTGTCTGGGATTCTTCCATATTAGCACACAAAGTCGCCTGTCCCAGGAATCCTTCAGTCCCAAGCACGTAGGCAATTGATAGCCCAGATCCTCATCTAGGATAGCATTCCATTCCTCACAGAGTTGTGCTACACAGTAAAGCCTAAGTGAAACATTTAGTGCATCCGGAAAGATGAAGGTTGCCAAATGGGAACTATTATCTTCGAAGATCTCGTCCACATTTCCCATTCTGTTTCCTTTCAGAGTACAGGCTTGTCTTTTTCCATTTCATTCAATACAATCAACACTTGGCTTGCACTGTGTTAGTCTCTCTAATTGATTCCATCCCATCCTGAAAACACGTTTCCACCCTACATTTTCCAGCCTTGACACAGTGGCCATTCACTTTACATCATCCTCACTGGAATCCCAAAGCTAACCTTGTGTTTCCTGCCAAACAGACCTGCCATGCTGCACCAGTTCAGAATCAGCATGTGAAAACTTGGAGCATCCAGCAACATCCGCTGTGGACACTCAGCAGTACTTGGGAAGCAAAGTATTCATTCACACACAAACTTAACAAACAAGAGAGGCTCTAACAAGCCTATGGAGTGAAATCAGGTTATCTAAGAACTGTTTCTATCATAGACATCACTGTACACAGGAGACACATAGCTTGCTGTGTTTTAGGGGTCAGCTTGCTGTATTTCCTTCATGAACAAAATCTTCCAGTATTCTGAGAGTACTATACCCTCTCCACTTTCCTGGCTCCGTTTTAGTTTTTGGTGTTCCAGGTCCTAGTTTCCCTACTGCTGTATAGAAATATCTACAGATTATGCCTAGCTTCATCACCTGGTCCAGCTCCAAATTCAGAAAATATCCCCTCAAATACTTCAAATTTCTCTTTCTACCTTATTCTACCCCTAAAATTATGTGATTTCTTGTGCCTTCTGCATCATCCAAATCATAACCCTCCCACAATCTTAGATGTCAGGCCCACTGCATCCTTTCCTTTCTCCACTTCTCAACCTAGGATCCGATTTGTGCATACAAATCTTCTCAGTGGGTACCCTTAATGTCTAACCTACTAGTACGATCTTGGCATGGCCATCCTCTCAGAATGCTGGCTGCATCAGGCAGAACTGGGTTTTAAATAACACTTTCTGGCATGATATTAAAGAAATGTTTTCATTATTTTTTCTGTTTCATGCTCTGCTTTCATTATTTATTTAATAAAATAGGTATAAGAACTATATTTGTATCAGTGCCAGCAAAATGGCTCAGCAGGTAATAGGCACCTATGGCCACTTCTGACAGACTGAGTCCAAGCCCCGGCCCCACATGGTAGAAAGAGAAAACTGACTCTCACAAGTGTTCTCTCACCACTGTGAGAATTAATGAGGTAAAACAACAACAAAAATCTACAGATCCATTAATTTATTTATCTTTGTATTCCCATCAGTTGTGAAGATGGCCTACACCCCTCCCACAAATTCTGTGGAAGAATATAGTTGTGAGAATTCTTGACCACATGTCTCCAATATATTGTTTGGGGCTTTGTTGGGCTCTCCACTTCCATTACTGCACTGATTCTAGAAGATTCAGGTGTACACTCAGTGAGAAGATCTGCCCTGGGGATGGGGTCAGGACTCACATACCAGAGATCTACATAAAAGAGAGTCCTCGATGGTGACTTTTTAGAACCACTCTGGAGGTGGAAGAAAATGCACCATGCTGACCTCCCACTTTCAAGCAGTGACTAGTCAACATGTCAGAGTTCATTTAGGTCTAAGTGCAATTAAGTCTGACCTTAGGGACACACACTCAGCTCCCAGCAGGTGTATGTTTTCAGGAAATCATCCTCTGTGCCCTTTGATCAATTTTAAAATTACTCAGGTTTCTGGGCCTTCCTGATGAAATTTAGTAACACTGCCCATTGGATTCCCAAGAACAGCTGCTGTATTAGCATCTAGGCATTTGTGCTAGAGTGAATGCTATGGAAGAACTCAGATGCTGGGTTGGGTTGATGGACTTCATGGTTAAAAGTGCTCACTTCTCTTCCAGAGGACCTGAATTCAGTTCTCACTTCTTAACTGCCTGCTTCACTCCAGTTCCAGGGGATCTGACAACCTCTTCTGGTTTTTATAGGTACCAGCACACATGATATTCACTCACATAGACACAAACATATATAAATTTAAAAAAAAAAACTAAAAGAAATCACCTCTCTGTATGTAATGCGCATGGATAAATCTGACTGCGAAAAAACCGAGACAGCTGTTGTCCAACAGCAGCTTGCTGCTGGCCCATGGCTAACCTAACTTCTCTGTCCCTGGTCGACATCTGTGCAGTGCTTTTAGGATTTTGCTGAGAATTAACATAATTCAATACAACATATGCTCCATAGTGAGTCCTCAGTAGTGGTGTCCACTGTTAATCTAACTGGCACCATTAAGACATTACAAGGAATTAAAAGTCTATCAGATCAGTCTTTTATTGTGTGCACATTTCTGTGTGATTTCAGTGCACTCCCGCACGCATCTTTCAGCAGTAGTACTATTTCAGATTGAATTCATACATCATCTTTAAAGTATCTTTATCATACTCCCTTGGAAAGAGTTTTTTTTTCTTTATTTTTCTTTTTTTAAGGGAGAGAAAGGCACCACACATCTGTGTTTCTGTGAAAATTCTAGAACTCCTCTGTGTATTCTTCATAACTTGTCTGTAAAGTCTTTCTGTTTCCCTTCTACAAAGAAAACAGACTCAGATATAATTAAGAGAACAAAATCAGATGCACTATAAGTAATTCTAAATCACCTTCTACTCTCCCCCTACCCCGCCGGGGGTGGGGGGTGGGGAGGGAGAGGAGCGGCGAGGTATGTGTGTATAATTAAAAAAAGACTTATCATTTTGTCTTAGTTTTTTTCCCTCCTAAAACGTATGACCATGAATAGGTTCTCTCACTACTCTGATCTGTAATATTCAAAGCTATAAAACAAGGAGACTAGGTTGGATCACTTTTAAGAACCTTTTCAAAATTATAAGTTTAAAACAAGGTACAGCCGGGCGGTGGTGGTGCACGCCTTTAATCCCAGTACTCGGGAGGGAGAGGCAGGAGGATCTCTGTGAGTTCGAGGCCAGCCTGGGCTACCAAGTGAGTTCCAGGAAAGGCGCAAAGCTACACAGAGAAACCCTGTCTCAAAAAACAAAAACAAAAACAAACAAACAAAAAAACAAGGTACAGTAAAAATATAAGTAAAAGTCAATGGCATCAAGAACAAAAGGAATAGCCACTTTTCTGTGTTCAGCCAATGTGTTTTCATCTTGAAACCATGAAGGAAATTGGGGGAAAATAGAACACCTTGCAGGTTCTTGCCCTAATGTACTTTTCTAATGTTTGTTGTTTTAATTTTCTTTCCTTTTTTTTTTCACATTTATTTAGTTTGTGTGCATGCACATTCCACAATGAACATGTGGAGGTCATTGGCAACTTTTAGGATTTGATTCTTTCCTTCTATCCTGTGGGCTCCAGGGATGGAATTCAGGTTGTTGGTGTGGGTGGCAAGCAACTTCTAGTATCTGCTCTTGAGTTGATGTCAGAGATAAGATCCTCAGGATGCCGGTGCTCATCTCCGCCTCCTAGTTTTCTGCCGTCTTGTATGTTGATAGTTTAATTTCACCCAGTAAAATATAGCTTCTTTACTGCTTTGAAACCACATGGTGCCTTCTTTCTACCAGCTTTCTTCTTGACTATGAGGGCCAACATAAGTCCAGAACAATGTCTAGAAGGGTACACCAAGATTTAATTCCACAGGAGGAGCAGCCAAAGTATAGGGAACACATTATGTGTAGATGGATCTGTAGTTTCCTATAAACGTGTTTCTTTTTCTCTGTTATCTCTTCCTTTTGTTTATCAACTCTAATTGTCCTTAAGATCCAAGCCCTAGAAACTTCTTAAGACACTGTCCCCAGTGGCTGCCTCTCATTTCTCCTGTGTGCTATCCTCCCACTTTTTCAGAAAATCCTATGTAGTGCAGGAATAGGGCACAAGTCTATAATCCAGCACTCAGGAGGCAGAGGCAGAAGGGCGCCAGGTTCACTTTCAGCTTAGGCTTCATAGTAAGACCCACTTGCAAAAAAAAATTATCATTCAAGAAGGAAAATACACTGTGTTTTAATCAAGTCTAATGGATGCGACCCAACTCCTAGATATATTAGTCAGATCTTTACCTTATAAAATTATTCATGGAGAAATTCTGTTAAGACCAAATAACTCTATTGAATTTTAATATGAATTTACGTAGATATTAATATACAGCGCTTTAAGGAATGATCTTTCCCACTAGCGTCTTAGCTCCTTGAGAGCAAGGACAATATTTGATTTTTTTCCCCACTGTATCCCCTAGTGCTTGGTCTACAGTCAGTGCTTAATAAGTATATTGAATTTTTTTTATTAAATAAGTAAACAAGAATAGGAATGAAGAATTGTATCTGTTACTCAAATAAGGGAGCACCATGTGTTGCCAGCCCCTGCTACTTATCACAGATGACCTTAGAAAACATACTTTAGGCTAATGAAACAAAACTGTTAGAATATCTCTTTATTTGGTTTTGGGTCAGTGTGTGACTATACAAGAGAATAACCACTGCTTATTAGTTATTGAGGTTGAGAACAACAGCTGTGGTCATCAAAGGCAAAGAAGTGCAGTGACCTGGGCTGTTTGTTCACTTACCTGAAGGTGATGATTTTTCTTCTAATACTGACCTTCAGATTAGACAGTAACAATCAGTTCTGAGCAGTAAGTGTTTTACGACGTTAAACTGGTGAGCAGTAGTTGATGGTATATGGTACTATACTGTCAGCTTCTAGAATGAGAAAAAGCAAAAGCAAGTGCCGGCAATTTCTATAAATAATACCAAATGGATATAAAGTAGAACTAAAATTGAAGAATTCACTTAGAAAAGCCAATATGAGAGAGGATCTAAAATCTTGTCTGAGACCAGAGAGTTGACATTAATATGCCATTTTTTAAATGAATATAAACATGGTCACCATCCTAGCTTACAGCAAACAGCACCAGGTAGATCACTGGTGAGATAGACAGTGGGCCTCCTCAAACATGTGTCTGAGAAAAGCGGATTGTGTCTAGCTTATCAGCAATGCTACAAGGAAAAGGTTGAAAATGTTTGTGCTGAGAAGTCTGACTGAACTGTGGGCTGTGGTGGCACATCAGAAATCCTAGCATTTGACGGGCAAGAGGAGACCCACAAGTTTAAGACCAGCCTGGTCAATCAACATAGTGAGTTCTAGACCAGCCATGGCCTAGTCCAGCAATGTCCTATCTCAAACAGAACAAAATAAGCAAATCAAAATAAAACCTAAATTCTGACTTAAGAAGTGACATCAAAGCTCTTTTCTTTTCCTTTCTCTTCTTCCTTTCTTTTTCTTTCTTTCTTTCTTTCTTTCTTTCTTTCTTTCTTTCTTTCTTTCTTTCTTTCTTTCTTTCTTTCTTTCTTTCTCTCTCTCTCTCTCTCTCTCTCTCTCTCTCTCTCTCTCTTTCTTTCTTTCTTTCTTTCTTTCTTTCT